CAGAAGGAAACATTACAGAAACCATGGGATCAAATTGATTTCAAACTTTGATTTCACTGCTCTTTAAATGATAGCATGTGATCTTCACAGCAGTTGTGGAAAAAGGTGAATTTCATGCTGGGAATCATTAGCAAACAAACACGAAACTCCCTATAAGATGGTGGCACATGATTTTGGTTTCAAGATGGAGGCGGCGGCTGAGAAATTGGGAGGGTGGGGAAAAGAATGCATTGGTTTGACGCATAAACCATCAAGCAGCTGCATAAAATACCTGCATCACTTATTTCATGTTGGGAGGTGGAGCTGCTTAGAGAAAGCAAAGTGCATTGAGCAAGCAACAAATTCTGGAACAGACGGAGCAAAGTCAGCTACTTTCAGCTGACTTCTCAAAAATTCTCATTACATAAATTTTCATCATTGCAAAGTACTTTTGGAATCTGAAGAGCCTATTGGCATAATCACATTTCTTTGTCCTGAATGGACTCCTCACTACCCAGAAGGAAAGCATCTCATAAAACTGTTCATAATAAACTGTTTTTTTATTAAAATTAAATAGCAGCCATTATGAGGGTCTATAAATCTAGCCAGTTGCCTTGACTTAGGGTGGAGGCCCTGTAAATCTGTGGCCCAGCTGAAGATAATTGGGCCATAATTCCTTTTTAAACAGCGTTTCCTGTGCCGCAAGCTTTTCCCTTTCACTCTTTTGTCTAGTAAATGTGCCTGTATGCATATTCCTCATCAGTCCTACAGCAACGACCCAGGAACGTTAGAATCCAATGTTGGCCCCGTTAGCAAGTGACATTGCTTCCTCCTCCAACCTCAACCCACCCAATAAATGCCCCAGAGGAACCTAGAGCCACAGCTGAACAAAACTCATGCAAAAAGTGAATTGGCACCTTCTAACTTGGAAGATGTATTGATGGCCACTGGTGTTTCCATGATGGCACTTGTTTTGAGCTGTTCTGGTTCAGTTTCACTCAAATTTCTGCGGCGATGTATAGACTCCAACCAGAAGCACTGGTTCACGCAATGGGCTGATTTAAGTGGTAGCAGTTGGCTGGATGTCAGGGACTGGCTAGATGAGGAGTGTTTGAAGCCACCCGACCAAGATGCCTCCAGGGAAAGTGCAGGAGAGGACAGTCTGGACACAGGTTCAGACTGGTGGACAACTGGATACACCCCAGAGGAGGAGAGGAGCTGGGAGATACTGGAGGGTGAGGAAGAGGGGCAACCAAGCAGATGCCCCAGCCCCTTGCAGAGACAGAAGTCAGACTTGGCACCAGATGACAATGTGTCTGCCGAAAGCCTGCTACTTCTTCCTCTCACTCCCAAAACAAGGCTTTTACTCCATGTAACAGAACAGAGAACAAGAGACAGGAAATGTCCCTCAGGGCTACCTGTAGGCAGAGGGAGGGATCTGACACCTAGAAAATAGTCTAGAAGAGGAGGAGCTAGCCACTTGATGAGCAACAGCTTACATGAGAGCATATCTCATGAATTTCCATATATTCCTGTTTTGATTTTATAATAAAACAGTTAACTACAAGTTCACTGTGTGACTTTGTCTCTCTCTCTCAACTTCGCTGAACTGTGCTAGGTCTCAGTGTTCAAGGCGTGACATTAGGCATGAGCATATGCACAAAGAAACGTCAATTTGCCATTGGACGAGGCAGAGGGGGAAGTGAGAAGCCGCCACTGCACATATCTCTGTTTTGGTAGCCTGGACAGGGCCATCGTTCAGCGGTAGAGCAGGTCTCAGGTATCGCCAATCCCAGGTATCTCCAGGTAGGGCTGCAAATGTGGAGAACTGGACTTGAAAGTGGGGGAAACGAGGACCTAAAATTGACACATTTGCCCATCTGTATGGGTGGTAAATTGCACAGCACACGTGAATGTGTGCTCAGAAGATTAATCACCATTGGTAGACCTTTGCTATTTGCCAGATTGCATTACTTGGCACTAAAAAAAGTTCACATGTTCATCTGGGCCTCATCAAACATTGCCTAGTCTAATTATGTGTACTTATGTGTGACACAGTTCTTAGGCAGAAGTGGAAGTTTTTGCAAATGTATCAACAGGCATGCTATTTTCCTTCTGGATCAGGGTCATGATTTGGGATGACCAATCTGTGATCTCAGATGTCTGGCACACAAACTCAAAAAATTTGCACCCCACCTCTCATCATAAAAAAGATCACATTTTTACCAATAAACTGCTGAGACTTTCATTTGCGGTGCAATCACAATGAGCTCATAACAGTTCTGAATTATTATTTTTGCAAGAAGGAAGATTCAACATTTGAAAGGTTATATATGCCACATTTTTAAAGTTTTGCATCTTGGCTTTTGATTGGCATATGAGAAAAAAGGAATCTTTATCAACATATGGCACTATTATTACATTTTCCCTCTTTGTCAGAAGACATTAATCTATTAATTTGTTACCTAGGAACAAGCTCAGCTATGATTTTGAGAAGGGAGCTTGAATTAAAAACATTGGAATGGATCCAGATTAAGGCTCCAATCCTAACCCCATTTGCCTGGGAGTAATCCCTGTTGAATTCAATAGAACCTACTTGCAAACAGAAGTGATCAGGACTGTGCTACAAATTCCCATGCAGGTCTACTCCGAAGTCTGTTGAATTCAGTGGGGCTTACTCCTAGGAAAAGAGCATACAACAATGTAACAAGTAACAAACAATTCTTTTTAAAAACTGAAACAGAGGCATTCTACATGAAACCTTCAGGAAACTGAAAACAACTGCGCTGTGTATTTCATGTATAAAGCTGTATGTTAGGTCTTCAGTAAAGGTAAAAGGACCCCTGACCGTTAGGTCCAGTCACGGACGACTCTGGGGTTGCGGCGCTCATCTCGCTTTAGCAAGCCAAACTTTGCTGTTTTGAATACACATTCCCCCCCCAAAAAAAAACAGGGTAAGTGGAGATGGTTTGTGTTACTTTCTTGCTTCTCTATTCCCACCCCCACTCCCCGTCCCGACATCTCGCAGTCTGTTCTGACCCCAGATCTTTTGTACCAACAGTCTTTTAGCAGTTAGAATGCTCATATACACAGTGGCGAAGCTTGATGCTCCAGTACCGGGGGGGGGCGGAGAGCAGGCGGGGGCAGGGCTGGTGCGCATCCCAAGGGCATGGCGCGCCACCCACAGGGGCATGATGCGCGTCCTGGGGACGTGGCGTGCTGCCCAGTGCAGGTAGGGGAACAGCCGCGATGGCACCCCACCTGGATAGTGCTGCCGGTGGCGGTGCGCTCCCCCCGCACTCCTCTTCCTCCACCAGTGTGCAGTCATACCTCGGGTTACAGACGCTTCAGGTTGCATTTTTTTGGGTTACGGATGCGCTGAAACCCAGAAGTACTGGAACGGGTTATTTCTGGGTTTCGGCAGTCGCGCATGTGCAGAAGCGTTAAATTGCGCTTTGCACATGCGCAGAAGCGCCAAATCGCAACCTGCGCGTGCGCAGATGCGGCACTGCGGGTTGCGAACGTGCCTCCCGCACGGATCACGTTTGCAACCCGAGTGTCCACTGTATATACATGCCATGACACCAGAGCAACTCAGCCCATGGCTACAGAGTCAAGTTTTTGTGACCAACAGGCTTTCCTGCCAGAACAACTCAGCCTTTGGTTAAGAATGTTTCAGAGGCTGCAGCTGTTTTCTTCCCTTTTTTACAAGTTTTTCTGGCTTTCATGAGCACATTGGGCAAGTGTCTATTCTCCAGCATAATTTGGAAACATGAAATGAGAACAGAACCCACCCCGCAAGCTAGAGCTGATGCAGATCTAAGAGTAGAAAAAGACTTAAGAGCACAAACAGAACTTGTAATCCACCCACCCTCCAAGGAACTAAAAAAATGCATGCATGAGATTCTCTGGCAGATTCCCCTTTCGAATGGGCCAGGCCCAAAAAAGCGTAAGTTCAAACTAGGGAATGGGGGAAAGAAATTTGATCCCGTTCACATTTAAATGTTAACTTGCAAAATTTACACTTTCCAAAATGTGTATGAGAACCGAAACACAGCCATCCTTTGGACGTGGCACTTCTCCAAGTTTTGCAAAGGAGTTCTTTAGCCAAGTAATGTGTAGAAAAATGCATACACTAGCATAGAACCTGCATATAAATGTGCATATTAGTGAAAGTATCAAGATCTGTTATGTTATATTGCATAGAGAGAGAGATGTGTATCAGGAGAAATTCACACCAAAATGCTGGATTTCAGGGCTCCCCCCCCCCAAAAAAAAAGAACTTATATGAAAACATGAAGAACTGATGATTAGAAGGCTAAGAAACTGAAATTGACAGATTTCCTCACCTTGACTTCAAAGGCAGAAGTACACTAGGCACCTCCAGCCCATTCAAGGAGTCTATTATAAGATACTTGCCAACATTATTTCAGAAGCTACCTTAAAAAAAAAAACCTAATGAACTATGTGCATCAATAAATGAATCTGTCAAAGTGTTGTTGTTTTAACTGAATCATGGCACAATAAGTGATTTTTTTGATAGATCTTGCAATACAGTTTTGTACATCCAGAGACTAAACATTCAGGCTAGCAAAATAAATTCCTTCTGTGATAAATCCCTCTTGGATAACTGCACGAAACATAGAAATGACCAGTTCACCCTGAGTGGATAAATAGACTGCAAATAAAAGCGTGTCAAAACAACGGGTTTTTCTGCTGATCTGTATTTATCTAAACTAAAGCCATGTCTTCTCTCAGAGGAGGAATATGACTTGGCAATCTGAGCCAAGAAATATATGTTATTGCTCCCTGAATACCTTCCTATACTGCGATATGAATCTTTATAGGTACAGCTGCACCAAATGTTCTCCCATTTAAATTTTTTAGTCACAGGTAGTGCTTTGGGATGGCGACTCTTTGCACCCAGCACACTAAGTGTGAGAATGGTTGCCTTAAGAAACAAAACAAAACAAAACAAAACCATCTTTGCTGACATTGTTTGGAACATGACACTCTGGCAGTTCAATCAATCAATCTCCTTTATTGGCACAGAAAAAGCGCATCATATACATGGATCACAATGCAGTTAACGAAACATAGTAGCAGATTCTCTTAGGATAAAACTGTCCAGACATTGTGAGGTACAAAAATGGCTCTTGGGACCTATGGTGATTTCATGGCGTCGCTCAAAAATCTTGCCACATTCTCCACAACGTCATTACCACAGCAGTTCCAAACCTGCCTGGAAGGTTGTTTCCAGAAGATGGTGCTCAGGGACTTTTGCTCTGCAACACATAATTTATTCTCTAGGGTTCTACAGAATTCTCCAACACTTCTCCTTCACCAGAGAGAGAGTGTGAAGGGGGAAGAGATATGGAAAAATGAAAGCAGCCAACATAGCCACACATCCCTAATTCTGAGTAGACATGCACAACATTGTGAGGGGAAAATTGCCAGTGGTCTTGAGGGCAGAATAAGAGGAAGAAGCATAGCCTGGAGTTGGGGTGAAGAGCTAGACATGCATCAGGCCAAGCAAAACTGTGGCATAGTAAAAATACATATATACCGTATTTTTTTGTGAATAACACGCCCCCATGTATAAGACATGTATAAGACTATTTTTGGGGACTCCAAACTGAGAAAATGGGGGGAGATTCTATCCATGTATAAGACGACCCACAATTTTGAACGTAGTTTTTAAATTAAAAAAACCTAATCTTATACACTGAAAAGTATAGTATATTGTAAGCGGTCTGTGATAAAGAGCTGTTATCGGGAATACAGTGGACAATGGAAAGTAGTCAAAAATGAAGTGAATTTCACATCTTGAGTTGAATCAACCTATCAAATTCTGATTGAAGAACTCTCACCACAACCATCCTAAATACTGCATCTGAGCTTGATGCATATTCTAAGGGCTCTGGCACAAGACAGTTTCAACCCACACACAATGTAATCCTAAGAGTGATGACAACTGATAAGTCTAACAGAATTGCATGTGGTTTGTTTTTTAATGTTAGCGTGCATTCAGAATCCCATCGTTCTCTAAAACTCTTGAGTCTGCTGTATTCTTGAGTTGCAGCAAGACTCGTTTGTTTTAGTTATGTATTTATATGCCACCAATTCCAGTGTTAGAAACTGAAATATGAAAGCTAGGAGCTAAATGGCACCTTAAACCTAGTTAATGGGTGCAGCAATGGAATGTCTAGGTGCACTTTTTAAATAACCAGAATACAAAGCTGAAAATGAATGAACTGCAGCTAAAATATTATGTTCGTTTTTCACATGGCCTAGTCCTTCCCCTGCCCACCCCCCTAATATTCTTAAGAAGGTCTCTTCTCCAGTCTTCAGAGAGTAGCTGGAAGTGGGGAGGCAGAAAAAGCTCCTCCTTTTCTTCCACTCTGCAGTTCTTCTCAGGTGCAGTATTGCGCCCAGAGCTCAGAAAGTGTTCGCACTAATGAAATTCCCTGTCGCAAAATGCGCCTAGAACATTGGGAGTTTGGAACCCTGACCAAGTCATATAATATAACAAGGTGGTGTATTACAATAAAATATATGATTCATCAGTAGCTTGGACGCATCCCATGAATTTGATAAAATTATTCATTTGCTCTGTATTACACAAAAATGGTTTTCTTTCTTCAGTGGAAAATGATGTGAGCAGAGCACCCTCTGGTGTCCTGTCACTGGTACTATGTAATATAGAAGATGCACCTTCCAGCAAGATGCAACAGCTAAGATAAACTCTTAGAGCTGACATCCGCAAAATGTATTTATCATCTTTATTTCAAGAAAGAGAGAAGGACGGGGGTGGAGGGAGATGCAGAATAACCTTTTTGTTTGCTTGCTTAATGTCTGGTATACCCCTGGAGAGAGAGAGAGAAATCTCTCATGCTTTGCAAAAGAACACCCTAGAATTATCACTTCAGAAGAAACACATAAATCCAAATAGCAAGAGAAAAACAGATGGGTCAACAGTAAGGAGGTCCTGAGTCTTCAAATTCTCTGGGACTGGCTATAATTATTATAGCTTAAAATGCTCCTATAAGCATGCAAGACACATTAACAGATCATTAACAAGGAATGTATTTTTCTCAAAGGTCTCTTGTATGCAAAACTCATTATGGGACGTGGGTGGCACTGTGGGTAAAACCTCAGAGCCTAGGACTTGCCGATCACATGGTCAGCGGTTCGGATCCCCGTGGCGGGGTGCGCTCCCATCGTTCGGTCCGAGGACCTGCCAACCTAGCAGTTCGAAAGCACCCCCGGGTGCAAGTAGATAAATAGGGACCGCTTACCAGCGGGAAGGTAAACAGCGTTCCGTGTGCTGCGCTGGCTCGCCAGATGCAGCTTGTCACGCTGGCCACGTGACCCGGAAGTGTCTCCGGACAGCGCTGGCCCCCGGCCTCTTAAGTGAGATGAGTGCACAACCCTAGAGTCTGTCAAGACTGGCCCGTATGGGCAGGGGTACCTTTACCTTTACCTTTATCTATGCACCAAATGAAAACAGATCGTCCTTCTTTGCTGAATCTTTTCCACGGGACTTTTCTAAACTTGTTATTTTGCACACTGGGACTCAACTGCACGCCAGCAAATTCAGGTTGTACAGTTAAAGGAGGCTTGATGCTCATGTGAAACAACCCCACCTATGAAAAAAATATCAACTTTTTGCAGCAAGGAAATGCATTGGAAAGTGTGGGATAGCAACTGCTTGATGCAACATTGTATAAACATAACAATACACAATGAACAGTCAACATCCCATTACCTCCCTTCAAACTTTGTGCGAACAAATCAGGATGAACGCTTGACAAACATCTCTTCTGAAAGTGACCATACAACACAGAATAATAAATACAATCATATCTTGTTTCTTGAACGCCTTGGTACTCAGACATTTTGGCTCCCAAACGCCGCAACCCCGGAAGTGAGCGTTCCAGTTTGCGAATCAATTTTGGAAGCCAAATGTCCAACGGGGCTTCTGAAGCTTCCAATTGGCTGCAGGAGCTTCCTGCAGCCATTCAGAAGCCACACTTTGGTTTCCAAGCATTTTGGAAATTGAACGTACTTCCAGAACAGATTCCGTTCGACTTCCAAGGTACAACTGTATCCAACTTGTGGGAGAGAAAGAACTTGAAATGTGTTCCAAATCAGGGGTGGGCAAACTTCTGATTTCTGGAATCTTTGTGTTTAAATCAAAGCCTCAAAACCCACCCATCAGGGCCTTGTGTAATAATAATAATAATAATAATAATAATAATAATAATAATATTTCTACCCCGCCCATCTGTCTGGGTTTCCCCAGCCACTCTGGGCAGCTTTCAACAGAACACTAAAAACAGAATAAAACTTCAAACATTAAAAATTTCCCTAAACAGAGCTGCCTTCAGATGTCTTCTAAAAATCGAATATTTGTTTATTTCCTTGACATCTGATGGGAGAGTGCCACTACTGAGAAGGCCCTCTGCCTGGCATACACTTAGAATTAAAGAAACATAAATGGAATAATTTGTTTTAAATCCCCAAACCGAACTCACAGTCCTTTCCACAATTACTATTTTTTAAAATCTGCTTTGGGCTCCCCCACCTGCCTTTCTATTTTAATTTCATCCAGAGAGAGGGTCCTTTTGTCGTTGCTGTTGATAAGCAGCCAGGAGTCAGAAATGCCTGGCCATCTCTGGGAAAATTCCCAGCAATATCCCTGCTGCCAACCCATGTTTTAGATGACAACTTAGATCAGGAATGGTGTTGCTGACTCCATCTCCCATCATCCCTGACCACTGGCCATGCTGGCTGCGACTGATGGGAGTCCAGCAACTTCTAGCCTTCACGAAATAACACTGGAGCGTGAATGACAACTGCAGTGCTGCAATTCCAGTGAAATTTCCAGGACAGCCTGAAGGCACAAGAACATAAGAACAGTTCTCCTTCATCAGGCTATTTACCAATGCTATTCTAGGCTGCATCAACAGAAGTATAGTGTCCAGATCAAGGGAAGTAATAGTACTACTCTATTCTGCCTTGGTCAGACCACACCTGCAATGCAATTTAAGAAGGATGTTGACAAGGTGTGCAGAGGAGGGCAACCAAGATGATCAAGGATCTGGAAACCAAGCCTTAGGAGGAATGGTTCAGGGAATTTTTAGCCTGGAGTAGAGGAGACAGATAGGAGATAGCCATCTTCAAATATCTTAAGGGCTGTCGCATGGAAGATGGAGCAAGCTTGTTTTCTCCTGCTCTGGGGGGCAGGACTTGAACCCATGGCTTCAAGTTGCAAGAAAAGAGATTGCGACTCAACATCAGGAAGTACTTTCTGACAGCAAGAGCTTTCTTTGGAGCTTTTTTAAGCAGAAGATGGGTGGCCATCTGTCCTGGATGCTTTAGCTGAGATTCCTGCATTGCAGGGCATTGGTCTAGATTCTATGATTCCAGGCCAGTGGCCCACCTAGTCCAGAAATCTGCTCATAGATGCCTATGAGAATCCCACAAGCTGGACATAAAGGCAGCAACAGCCTGTAGTTTCCGGCAACTTCTGGTATCAAAGGCTATTTCATGAATCCTTTGCCTCACTGCACCGCTCGGGTGCTGTTGCAAGGAGAAAAGCAGGAAACCTCCACAGCAGAGCTTTCCAAACTTTTCCTGTTGGTGAGACGCTTTTTAGACATTTCACAACACAGTAATTCATTTTTACTAGCAAACTGAAAGTTAAACTAACCCCTTTCCAGCCCCGGGAGGAGTGCACAGAGCATTTGCACGACACACCTACACACTGCAGCCGCACAGTTTGGAAAGCTCTGCCCTACAGCCATGTAAAGTCCATGAGGTGAGATGCACAGCTGAAATGCCTGGGAGGGTCACTTCTCAGGTGCGGCTGCGAGAGACAGGGGGAGAGGACGGCTGGAATATGATGTCGGATTCCCATCAGCCCCAGCCAGCATGGCCAATGGTCAGAGACAATGGGAGCACCTGAGAGAGTCGGGCAACATCTGGTGGGACACCAGGTTGGAGAAGCCTGGAGGAAGGTTTTCCTCCCTTGGCTGGGCTCCTACATGAATTGTAAAAAAAGCTCTGTTAAGGCTCTGGGAAAAGATAAAGGGACCCCTGACCATTAGGACCAGTCGTGGCCGACTCTGAGGTTGCGGCGCTCATCTCACTTTATTGGCCGAGGGAGCCGGCGTACAGCTTCCAGGTCATGTGGCCAGCATGACTAAGCCGCTTCTGGCGAACCAGAGCAGTGCACGGAAACGCCGTTTACCTTCCCGCCAGAGCAGTACCTATTTATCTACTTGCACTTTGATGTGCTTTCGAACTGCTAGGTTGGCAGGAGCAGGGACCGAGCAACGGGAGCTCACCCCGTCGCGGGGATTCAAACTGCCGACCTTCTGATCAGCAAGTCCTAGGCTCTGTGGTTCCAAATTTATAATCCGGTGGCCCTGCCAACTTCATCTTGGGATATGATGAGCAGCGTGTGACGCTAGGAGGTGAGATCAAATGACCAGAAACCCTCCATGTCTTCCACCCATTAGATGACCCTCGTGGTCCCTTCCAACTCTGCAATTCTATAATCTATGATCCATCTAATCTGGCAGCTTTTGCTAGTAAAGAGTGAGCCAGACTTTGCCCCAAATTGGTAAGAAACACACACAAACAAACCCACCCAGAAGGTCACCCACTACCGAGATACCTGTGTCTAAAACGGTGCCTCAAACCCATCCCCCCAATACTTTGTTGCATTGCTGGATTGGGCCTGCCCTCTACAGAATCAAAGAATTGTAGAGTTGGAAGGACATCTAGCCCAACCTCCTGCAATGTCCCACAGGCTTCCTGAAACAACTCTTGAAATGCAAAGTCGGTCCCACACAGTTCAGTGGGGCTTAATCCAAAGCGAGTGCGTCTTATATGGGATGGGGAACTTATGGGATGCTCCTGGACTGCATGGCTCTGCCAAGGGGAGCCAGAGTTCAATGGAATAACTGTTGTAGAGCAGGAGACTCTGAATCTCAGGGTAGTGGGTTTGAGCCCCATCTTGGGCAGAAAAAATCCTGCATTACAGGGGATTGGAGTAGATGACCCCTGTGGTTGAGTGAGACTGTGAATCTCAGGGTCGTGGGTTCAAGTCCCATGTGGGGTGGGAAAATTCCTGCATTGCTGGGGGTTGGAATGGATAACCCTTGTGGTCCCTATATGACATGGGGGGGCGAGAGAGCGCGCTGAAAGGTTTATTCCCCGCGCACCTCGTCTGCAGCTGCGCCTGCCAACGTTAAGAAGCGCCGGGAGGGTGGAAGACGAGGCTCCCCCCCCCCAGCCCCCGTCTGCCCGATCTCTGTTTCAGGGCAGGCCTAGAAGAGGAGCGCCAAGAGCGCGCGTCCGGAATACGGCGTCACCTCTAGTCCCGCCAAGGCGCCTCCACCCCCGGCCAGGCGGCTGAGCGCTTCCCCCGGGGCGCCGGGGCTGCCGGAGCTGCGGCCACGTCAGCCTTGCGCCCCGCCCGCCTTCCCGCCGCCTCCGGTTGCGAGCCGGATCCTCCGCGCCTCTCGCGCTTCCCTCTTCCTCCGGCGCAGGCCTGCCTGCCTGCCTGCTGCCTGCCTGCCTGCCTGCCTGCCTGCCGCCTGCCTGCCTGCTCCACGGCTCCTGCTCCGCGCCGGCCAGCGGAGGGAAGGACCCCCAGCTCCGCCACCCGGTAAGGCTCCGGAGAGGCCCCCAGCGCAGAGAAAGCGGACGGAGGACCAGGGACGGGGAAGGAAGCGCTTTTCTCGACGCCTCCTTCCTTCCGTCCTTCTCTCCCAAGCAACATCCCATTGGTGTTCCAAGAGCTTGCTGCGCCGCCCCAAAACTTCAGGGATTGCATTCCTTATGCAGGCACCTTTTCCTTTGTCACCCGGGGCATCTTCTGGGCTCTCATGGCCGCACATATTTGGCTACCACCCCCATCTGTAGTCCCGTACTCTTTCTTCCTCCTTCCCTCTTTTCTTTTCTTTCTTTCTTTCCCTCGCTCAGTGGATTCCCTTTCCTCTGCCTCTTCTCCCCGGACCCCAGTGTGTTTCCTTGCTTTAAAATAGTTACCTGGTAAGCAGAGGGCACTTAGAAATGGAGGAGGAAGGGATACAATGGAAGACATCACCAACCATAGAATTCTAGAGTTGGAAGGGATTTTGAGGGTCCTGTAGTCCAACCCCCTGCAATGCTAAAGCATCCATGGCAGATGGCCATCCGACCTCTGCTTGAAAACCTCCAAGGAAGGAGAGACCATTGCACTGGCAAACTGTCGTGAATATGATGTTTTTTCTTGTTATTAATATTACTATTATTATTATTTGTACCCCATCCATCAGACTGGGTTGCTCCAGCCACTCTGGGCGGCTTCCCACATATAATAAAACATTAAACATTTTTTTAAACTTCACATGTCTTCTAAAGGTTGTATATCAAGCTTGCAGCCTTCTTCACTTTGAAACCTCACAGCAGCTCCTGACATAGTTTTTCAGAGGGTGTTGCGTCCGGCCAAGTTCTTCCGATAGCTGCAGCTTTCATTTCAGACGGTGCAGAACCTGCTCTGCCGTTCCTCCAAGGAGCTGGAGAAGGCCTGGGTTAGACTGGCTCAGTTGGTAGAGCGCAAGACTCTTATTAAAATCTCAGGGTTGTGGGTTTGAGTCAAAAGATCCCTGCATTGCAGGCAGTCAGTGCCAGTGTGGTGTAGTGGTTAAGAGCGGTGGACTCGTAATCTGGTGAACTGGGTTCGCGCCTCCGCTCCTCCACATGCAGCTGCTGGGTGACCTTGGGCCAGTCACACTTCTCTGAAGTCTCTCGGCCTCACTCACCTCACAGAGTGTTTGTTGTGGGGGAGGAAGGGAAAGGAGAATGTTAGCCACTTTGAGACTCCTTTGGGTAGTGATAAAGCAGGATATCAAATCCAAACTCCTCCTCCTCCTCCTCCTCCTCCTCCTCCTCCTCCTCCTCCTCCTTCTTCTTCTTCTTGTGGTCCCATTCGGTTCTACAATTCTATAATTCTGTAAGGTGGCGTGCATGGCATATGTTATGAGGATAACAACCCTCTGAGGCTGAGAGATGTGGGGGACTGGTCCAGGGTCACCAAGTCGGTGAGCTTTGGGACTCGAGTGGGGATTTGAACCCAGGTCCTAGGACAAGACTCTGCCCGCTGCACCACACTGGCTGTTGTGCATAGAACCCCTTTGCACAGCCGTTGAATGTGCAGCCAGCAGCAGGCTGGGCATTGAGTGTGACCCTCTCATGCGTTCTTTCAGCTCACCCAGTGATGATCCCTTCCCTCCTTAGATCAAATGCAGTTGGGGCTGTAGGATTACTCCTCCGTCCCAAAGGCATGCCCTTTGATCTTATTTTCAGTTATTTTGCTTCACTTGTACCTCAACTGCCTTCCCATAATAGAATTCAAGGTGGCGCTCACAAATTGCTTAGGTGGCCTCCCACACCATAAACTGGGAGTGGATAGTTTTACAATGGTTCTTTTATTGCTCCTGTATTCTTCCTGTCATTTTAATTATTATTATTATTATTAAGGTATTTTCATTTTGCTCTCTCAGATTCCTTCAGTACCTGCTTCTTTCCACTCATTCTCTTTCTTCCCTCGGCAGGATTTTCTTTCCCCCCCCCCAAATGACCCAAGCCTAAATGGTCATTTCCTTGCAATCACCTCCTCCTCTGGGCTTAAAATGGTAGGATTACTGTCTTTACTATTGGCTGTGCTTTTTAATAACAGAAATCAACAAGCGGTGGTGGCGGGGTTGTGGTTTTTTGGATTCTACCCTTGGAAAGGCTTTGCTTTTTATGTTGTCCTGTCTGAAGCATAAATCTGGCCAGCACAGATGCTCCCAAGGGGATTGTATTGGGGAAGAACATGAGAAGAGCCTGTTGGATCAGGCCAATGGCCTGTCTAAGTAGAGCAGCCTATTCTTACAGAAACCAACCAGGTGGGAAAGCTACAAGCAGGATTCGAACACAGGACAACTCTCCCCCACTGTAGTTTCCAGCAACTGGTATTGAGAGTATTACTGCCTCTGACCAAGGAGACAAAGCATAAATATCATAGCTTGTAGCCACTGATAGCTTTACCCTCCATGGATTTCCAATGAGCCATCCAAGTTGCTCGTTGTTGACAGATACCTACATCTGTAGCAAGAAAGTAACAATTGCCAAAGGCAAATGTTGTGTATTTTCTAGGTTTTAGGGAACAACACGTTAAGGCAGCCTTTTAAATAGTTCCACAATGTTACCACCGTAGTTCATTCGCCTGCATGCAATATCCTTGCCACCTGTTTATGCATTTTTAATTCCAATAATATTTATAAACTGCCAACTCTTTAACAAAGTACCAAGGCAGTGCACAGTAAAATCACCTAAAGGTAATAAAGCTATAAAACTGTATAATATAGAAGTAATGCCCAACACTGAATCAAATTAATGCTTGACCAAACTACCAGGCTAGTACTTAAATACAAAATGAATTTAATGTGCTTTAAAAACTCTTAATGTAAAATGTCGACAGTCTTCTACCCCATTTCCTTCCCTCCCAGAAACAATTTATTACTCTGGAAGCGGCCTTGTAACGGGAGTAGGATATTTGTTACGTAGTTAAAGATTAAGGTCACGCTGATTTCAAGATATAAATATGTGGAACAAAAGGTGAAGATCATAAGACTACATTTGTGGAAATCCAAGAAACATTTAGTGTCCCTCAGTGATTACCAGTGAGTAGGAATATCACCAGTTGCCACCACATGCCCATATGCCTTTAATAGCAGTATACGAAACGAGTCCTTTGTAAACGAAAGCCTCTTTACTACCTAGGAAATGAGATTTCACAAAACGAAACTGCGTTCATCTGCAGGTGTCACTGTGAAGTGACTAGGCCTCTGCATTTACCGGATAGCACAGACCATCTGAAAACTTCTGTCTTCCTTTTAGGCGCTGTCTCTTTGAAGAACCCAAGTGGGCTGCCTCTGGACCATGACAGCAAACATCGTATGAGCAGCTTTTTCAGAAATATATTCAGTTATTTGGCTACAGCACTGTGAATTGTATTGGTCTCCAACGCTTGCCTCGCTCAAGCACTCAACATGGAGCCATTGTTACCTAGAGGAAAGTGCCTCACAGACTTGAAAAGACTCTTCTTGCTGTCACTAGTGTTAGTATATCTGATAGCTTTGGTTTCTCCGGATCAAGACTACTACAGTTTACTCGGAATATCCAAAGAAGCAACAAGTAGAGAAATAAGGCAGGCTTTCAAAAAATTAGCGTTGAAGTTGCATCCTGATAAGAATCAGGTAGGTTGCCTGGTCATGGAAAGACTTTTTTCAACTAGCCAAGAACATTTCAAGACTGAAATGTGTTGGGTTGCAATGTTTGTTTGGTAAGTGAACGCTAGGAAGTTTCTCTCTCTTGCAGAATGATCCGGAGGCCCACGAAAACTTCCTGAAAATAAACAGAGCGTACGAAGTGCTGAAAGACGAAGATCTGCGAAAGAAATATGACAAATACGGAGAGAAAGGTCTGGACGACCAGCAGCAAGGAGGCAGATATGAGAGCTGGCACTACTATCGCTACGATTTTGGTAAGATAACATGCATGTGAGTGGGGCGCAATTGTTTTGTGCTGTTCTCCCTGTTAGTGTAGCCTTGAAAGTACACGGTAGCCAGGCTGGCACACAGTTAAAAGAGCCAACGAGGACTTAGCTATGCTGGCCTGTGGCCGCTGCAAGGAGGTACACAGTGTGTCCTTGGCTTTCTTAATTAGTCTGATTCTTAGGGACAGGACAGCCTTTATTCCATTCTTTTGCTAAGTGCCCTTTAGAGTTGGTTCCTATTCCTACCCCTTAACGAGACTCAACCAACACCTTTTTTACTCAACAGCTTCTCAGAGCAGGAAACTGTAACTAGTTATCCTCATGCTCGCTTAAAATTGATTTTTAATGTTTTGAAGCTGTCATGGCTAGTCAGCTGGCAACCCTTGAGCACTAGCCAGCCTGCAGGATTAGGGCACAGTGGTACCTTGGGTTACATATGCTTCAGGTTACATACACTTCAGGTTACAGACTCCGCTAACCCAGAAATATTACCTCGGGTTAAGAACTTTGCTTCAGGATGAGAACAGAAATCGTGCTCCGGTGGCATGGGAGGCCCTGTTAGCTAAAGTGGTGCTTCAGGTTAAGAATAGTTTCAGGTTGAGAATGGACCTCCGGAACGAATTAAGTACGTAACCAGAGATACCACTGTATTAATATTTTATCGGTTTCAAATATAAAGAAATAAAGTGATGCAAAGGGAGGAAAAGAGCAGAAAAAGGCCCAAAAATGTGTAGAAAGAAGCAACCTATGAATATATGAAAATATATGAAAAATACCCTAACCCATACATTCTTATATAAATTTGATGTTATTATCCTGATGTTATTATACAGTGGTTTTCAATCAGTGTGCCGTTGCACTCTGGGAGTGTGTTGAATGATATCCAGGGGTACCACCGGCAACACTGGTCTCTGTTCCTCTTTCCTTCCCTCCCTCTTCTGATGCCCTCTTGCATCTCTGCCTCCCAAAGGCTTGCACAGCTGTTTGTTGCAGCAGCCCTGGCTGCAAGCTCCCCAGACAAATGCTGTCTCTGGGGTTGGCCAGGAGGTGCTCCCCAGGCCCCTGTGGGACAGTGTGAGGAGGCACCTCTCTTTGGGGCAGGGGGTGCAGCTCAGAGACCAGGGGGGGCAGCTGCAGCTGCCCAGAGGACTCCCAAGGAGAGAGGAGAAGAGAGGAGGCTGAGGGCACCCTCCACAAGGTAGGGGTGAGGGGCTGCCACCTCTGCAGGCAAGGGGTGACATAACTAGGCTCCTGAGCCCTACAGGGGTGCCGCAGAAAGAGTGTAGTTGGTCAAGGGAGCCGTGGACCCAAAAAGGTTGAAAACCTCTGTCCTAACACATATGGAAATATTAATGGCCTACTACATTTTGTATAAACTCATTTCAAATATTGTCATATTTATCCAAACAAAGTCTATGTCTGTAAGCAGTCCGTTCATAAGCTGCAAGTGTTATCATGTAGTCAATCCATTTATTAAAGGGGACCATACCTTTATTCTTCCAGTTCATCAATATCAGTCTCTTGGCTACCATTAGAGCGCATAGAATCCATTTTCATTGCCCCGTTGTTA